GCTACTACCTGATTAACCCAGTGGAAAAGATCTTTATTTGTGCCCATTCCAAAGAAAGGTGACCCTATGAAATGTGGAAATAATTAACCAATATCATTAGTATACATGTAAAATTATACATGTAAGTACAATTTTGCTGAAGATAATCTAAAACCAGATGCAGCAAAAGTGAGCTGCCAAAAATTCAACACAAATTCAGATGAGGGTGTGGTACAACATTGTTGATATCTGCTAAAAGCAGAGAAGACCAGAAAGATGTTTGTTTATGTTTTATTGACTATGCAAAAGCATTCAACTGTGTGGATCATAACAAACTATGGATGTATTTTCAAGAATGGGAAATCCAGAAAACTTAATTGTGCTCATGCAGAACCTGTACAAAGAACAAGAGACAGTCATTGTAGCAGAAGAATGGGATTCTGCATGGTTTAAAATCAGGAAAGGTGTTGTCAGGATTGTATTCAATCTATATGCTGAGCAAATCATCTGAAAAGTTCAACTACATGGCAGAAGAATGCAGCATCAGGATTGGAGGAAGCCTCATTAACACCTGCGATATGCATATGACACAACATTGCATGCTGCAAGCAAAGAAGCCTTGAGGCATTTACTGATGAAGATCAAAGAATACAACACTTATCCTACAGAGCCACCAGGACTCAAAATAAAACCTAAGTCATTAAAAGGCCTGAAACAAAATTGGATATCCATTTGAAGAAAAATTAAACAGGATCTATATCTCACAACTTACCCAAAAATATACTCAAGATAAGTCAAAGACCTAAATATAAAACCTCTAATGAAAAAGACCATCAAAGAAAAAACATGGATAAACTGAGAAGCCCTAATTCATGGCATCAATACACTATCAAATATAACTAAAGGCACACAAACAGTGGAAGACAAACTAGATGACTGGGACACTTTCAGGCAAATCAAAAGACTCCATCAAAAGAATAAAAAGATGACCCACAGACAAAGAAAAAAATTGTTGTAATGACATCAGATAAGGGGACTGGTATGTCATCATGTCTAAAACTTATAGAAAACATCAACACCTCAACAACAAAAAGATAAATAATCCAGCTAAAAAATGTGTTGTTGTTTAGTGCCATTGAGTTTGTTCCAATCCATAGCAACCCTGTATAGGGTTTCCAAGGAGCTTTAACTGAAGACCTTGCAGTCCAAATGACTTTGCAGTCCAGCACATTAAAAGTGTGTAGAAGACATCAAAGAAGACATTCAGGTGTGCAACAAATACAGGAAGAAACACTTGTGATCATTAGCCGTTGTTGTTATTGTTAAGTGCTGTCAAATCAGAATGCAAAACTGATGATCTGCTTTGTAAACCTTCACTCAATTCACAAATAAAGTTTCATATATATATATAAACTGAAAAAATAGAAAATGACGAACAGTCCAAAAAACTAAAGGAAATAATTAATTAAAACAAAAAAGTTTGTTCAACTTTTGCCTTGGCATGAACACCACCAAATAGGTGATGTTGTTGTTCAGTGCTGTCAAGTTGGGAATTTAAGGAGCAAGCAGCTGGTAAGCTTAAACTGCTGACCTTTCGGTTCCAATTAACCTTGCAGTCCAGCGCATTACCCCCCAGCACCACACCAGGACTCCACACAGGTGCTAGGTCTTTCAAATAACCTACAAATTTCCCCTATCTTCCAGACCTTAACTGTAACTCTAATCTTTGGGTCCCTGACTGCAAAACATTTCTTTCCACAGTGATACCACTCTTGCAATTTGTTTGTTTAATTTTTAAAATGTTTTATTGTGAATTATGTGGTAGTTTACAAGGGAAAACATTAGTTTTACATTCATCCTATTGTATATCATTTCATTGCCATGGTTACAATCCCCTCCATGCATCATCAACCAACCAAAGGGTATACCCTGCAAGCCTGCCCCCCAGTCATCAGCACACAGCCCCTCTCCCTGTCTGGGTCTAAAGACCCCAGCTACTCCATCTCTCCATGTCAGCATCTCTGCCTCCATCTCAGGCATCACTGCTTCTCTGGGTAGGGTCCCACTCTCCGCTCTTCTCCCTTGATGGTCCCAGGGACCTCTGCTCCTAGACTGAAAAGTTAATCACTCCCCTCCTTGCTACAAAACGTCTACCTTACATTTCCTGTCCTCACAATCAGTCCTGATAACAGTTATTCACTATTGTATCACAAGAGACCTATCTACATTTCCTTACATCAGCCTGTCTAGACAGATTGGATACTACGCATTGGAGATTCTACCTTCTTCCATGCCCTCTGGATCTAGGTTCCCTCTTGAAAGCTTGTAAGCCAGTCAATTTTTGCCTTTGTAACCCTTCCACTTTGGGTAGCCAATGTCCAAGTTGTCTACTCTGTGTATGGAGGGGTTGGGAAGAAAGATCCTTGCTGTAAAGATTTGTTCCCTCTTTTGAGCTACTGCATATATAGGTGTTGGTCAAGTTCATCACATTGTATCAGATTCCTCTTTTTTTCCTCTTCTTTCTTCTTCCAGTTTAGCTCTGATCATCCAGTCATAGAAGCCAAGTCAAGTGGGTATTATGTGCAACTGTGGGTGTTCTTGTGCTTATGCCCTCTCTTCTTATCAGTTGGACACTTCACTCTCCACTCTAGTCCTCTGTCACTGACTCTGGGCCCAAGAGTCCCCAGGTCTTGCCACACTGCTGGCCAACCAGGTCTCCACCAGGGGTTAACAGGAATCTATTGAACGTTGTAGGGCTTAGCTTACAGCTTCATTACTGTTTTTCCCTCACTTCCCCTTATCAGTGACAAACGTGATCACCAATCAAAGCATGTATTCCCATTGAGTCTTAGTCTTAGAAGGGGGTTTGCTCTGAGGGTACCTGACCTTGATGTCTCCTGGGTGAGCAACTTTCTTGTTCTTGTAGTAATCAGTCGGTCTGCATATATTGTTTTGTATTTTTCCTGTCAGTCTTTCTTTCAAGAAGTATCCTCTGTTCTTCCAGCCACTCTAGGCTGGTCTGCCCATCCTTTCAAGTGGAAATTTCCCACTTCTGAAGATTCTGGACGTGGTTCAGTATTCCACCTATGGTCTTATGTAAGCAGAGGCTCCTCAGGAAGCCTCCTTCACTGGGCACATTATAGCCCTATTTTAGGTATTCCAATCAGTTATAGGCAGAAGACGGACTTACAAGCTTTCTATGGTGATATTTATGGCTATTCCTTTCTCTCCCCCTCCAGTGTCTATTTTATAATGGTATGCAAGGGAAACCAAGATTCAAAAGACAGCCAAACATCTTAACATTATTTCCCCCTTTCCCCATTCCAACATTGTCTCAATCCCTGTATCCCAGAGCCCTGTTGTTCCTAGGTTGTGCATACATCATTATTTACCTCTGTCCCTCTTAGCCCATGCAAACCTGCCTAATTGTTCTCCCATTTGCTTTGTTCTTCCATCCCCCTCTCCCTTTTTGTATATTGTCCCCTTCCCCAGCACCCAAACTATCCTATGTCTATTCTCTGCCCTGTGCTCCACCTTCCCCTCCCTCCCCTCAAACCACCCCCACATCCCAGCAACCAGGAAAGAATCCTCACCCCCACCCCTTTAGTATGGATTCTTTTTCTTAGTCTTTTACAGTACTGGTCCTATGCAGTATTTCTCTTTTTGTGACTGACTAATTTCACTCAACAGAATGTCTTCAAGGTTCATCCATGTTATGCGGTGGCTTGCTGCTTCCTTGTTATTCTTCAAGGTAGCATAATATTCCATTGTGTGTATGTACCA